TTTGAATAACTGCGTTTTTGTCTGTAGTGCTTATGATTCTAACAAACGTTTGATATTTATTTGCTATGGTGTTAGCAATAAAAATGCCTTCCGTTAATTTTTGATGGGGAATAAAAAGTTCAGAATTGTCAGTTTTTATGTTAATTTGTCGAATTACTTCTGATCTGGTATTGTGATTGTATTGATAGTTGGTCTATTTGTCATTTGAATTATTATATTTTCTGGGAAGTCGTAAGGTCTCAATATTAATCGATCTTCATCTTTTCGATAGTCTAAAATGCAATTATAAAGTCTAACCCCAGAATTCCATCGCATGGAATTGGAAAATTGTCCTCTACTATATGAAATTTGTGTCTAATTAAGATATCATCTCCTTTTAAATCTGCTTTGACTGTACCTAGAGTGCTTGTTATTCCTTGACCAATGCCCTTCAAATCTGTTATTTGTGAATTATTAATTGTAATATTACTATCAATTTGACCCTTTTTTATAATTGATATGTCTGCTCCTGTGTCTATCAAGAGAGTTGAAATTGAATTATTTAAAGAAGTTTTGGAAGATATGTAGCTATTTAGGTGTAGGTTAAGTACACGCACTTTTTTGTTATCTACTGTTGAAGTGGAGTTTGTGGGTTTTCCTGCTGGTTGCAATTACGAACATTGCGAGTATCATTGCGACTAGTTCGCGATTGATTATTAAAATTTCTATTCCTGTTTTGAAAGTGATTATTTTGTCTTGAATTATTGTTGTATCGGGGCGGTGTCTTGAATCTATTACCTTGATAACCTCTATAGCCGTTACCTTGGTAACCTCTGCGGAACCTACCACGGTAGTAGCCTTGTTGGCGTATGTGCAAAACTGAGTTTGGGCTACCCGTTATTTCAGTACAACTGTTTGTGAATTTTGATATAGCCTCGTTCATGGATGTGAACGTTCCTGCTTGCATTATCATTTTTACCTTGTCGTTAGAGCAATTCTTGCACATGGCTTTTACAGCTGATTGTGTAGCATATCTGGTTGCTAATTCTGGAGTTAATCCGTCAGATATGTATGCTCCTTCTAATGATTTTGTTAGTTTTTCTATTTTAGTAGTATTGTAGCATAAGCACATCGCCCTTTTTACTTTAATTGTCATGTGCACATAAGTAATGTATAAACAAATAGGAATGTACACAAACAACAGTTTACCCAAATCAGTTACATTGAGCTCAGCGGGAGTTTATGCAAAGACTGCATTCATCGCACATAGCGAGGATCTTGTTACACTTGTGCGGACGGTCAAAGACACCGCCAAAGACAGTCGCAGTGACTAACTGATCCACAACGTCAGTTTGTCAATGCGACTGACATATTTATATATTTATTGCAACCATATGTTGACTTAGCATATTTTAGAGTTATGTAGTTAGTTTGTAGGTATTAGTAGTATATTTGTATACATTCTAGTTCGTAAATAATTTGTAAGTGTTAGTGTAAGAATTTGGTATAAAAGAAAGTGAAATCAATAAAGTAAACCAATTGGTGATCAAACTCCAACCAATAACTTATTATTTGCTATAGTATACTGGTTGGCAGTTTTACTACGTTGCTGTATGTTCAGTAGTTTTGCTGTCAAAACCTCTACTGACTCACCTTTAATAGTCCATTTTAATTTTTGCTTTATCTCTCGGATTGAATTTTCATTTCCTATAAAGTTTCTTGCTGTACCTTTTAGCTTGGTTTTTATCATTGAAATTGCTATGGCTTCATGACTATCCTTGATTTGTTCTAGGATATCAAGAGCATCTAAAAAACTATGTAGGTTCTCTTGCTTACCGTCAAATTCAGGTAGAATTGACGAAGCTGTCTTAATGAATTCTACTGTTGTCTGTGCCATTGTGACGTGTGTTGTTTGGGAATTTAGTATCTGATACTCGATTCCTTTTTGGTCTTCGTCTAGGTCGGAAGGAGATTCCAACAGGTAAGTGCTAAAGTCTATTTGTATATTTTGTTCGATTGTAGTTGGTACTGTCTCCTCTATGTTATACCTTGCTAGTGAGGATACTAATTTGTCCCTAACACTAGAAAATATTTGGTATGCCTCTTTTTGGTGACTGCTAGTTAGTTGGCTATTTACACTACGTATTGCCGAACCTAATCTATTTAATGAATCTAATATTAGTGTAAGATTTTTCTGCAGTAGTTTTTTCTTCTACGAGTGCCTTAAAAATTTCTTCCCATTTTCTCATTGAGGAAGGGAGGCTAAGAGAAAGAGTAAAAAAAAATAAAATTTTGTTTAAACCTTATCTAGACCGTCAGCACGGCTCATGTACCTCTTTTTCAGAAATTTATTATGTGCAGAGTAAATCTTTAAAAATAAGCTTATGCAGCTTGCAATACTAATAATCAAAAGCATTACCTTGATGGTATTTAATGCTTCACTATGATCTATTATTTCAATGGAGTTTACTACATTAGCATTAGGCTTATCTATTTTTGATGTTTGTCCACCCATTTTATAAAAATAAATATAGAATATTAAATAATTTATGGTATAAATTGATAGTAATAAACGGCCATGTAATAAACGGCAAGAAATTTCGATCCTTGCCACTAAATAGGCAGCCGTTAGGTTGCCAAAATATTTTGTTAGTATTTAATTTAAATATTTTATAATTTAAATAACGGCAAGAATCTTTCAATTCTTGCCAATCACGACACCTTTTTTCTCCTTTTCCCGTCTGGATTTCTTGCTTGGCTAAACAGCATATATAGAGTCATCTTCCTGGTTGCTTTTTACCTGGAGTTTCCCATTGTAAAGTTTCAAATAAGCTTGTATGAGCCTCTGATTAGCACGTTCAGCGCAGTTTTTTGCTGAGGCAAACCGGTGATGAAAATAGCGACCTCCTGTTCGCCGAAATGAGGTTGCTGCTTGGCAATGGACACCAACTTGTTCATTTTGAGGTCGACCGGTTGGCGAGGTTATGTAGCTTTTTTATGTTAACAGCTACGCCAGCTACTAACGGTGTTCTGTCAGTACGAAGGCATTGCCGCTAGATTTGGCAGGATATTTTGCCGCTTCAAGGCAGCTTGCCACTATAAAACGGCAAGTTGCCGCTAGATCTGGCAGGATCTTTTGCCGCTTAAAGGCAAGTTGCGGCTAGATCTGGCAGGATCTTTTGCCTTTTTTTCATTAGTTTTCCTGCCGATTATGACAAAAGTCAAGGCAGGATCGCCATGTAATAAGATGACAAAGTAATAAGTCGACAATTTGTTGTGGCGCAGTCAAGCGCTTATCGAATATTGTTCTTTATTCATTAATTCTTTCCTAATTTATACAAATTTAAACTTATTTAATTCTATGTGTTCTTATTTACTATAATACATATTTATTATACTTCTTATATTATGTCCACACGGCAATGAAAACAAGTTGTTTTCAGGAGATGTTTTCAATATTAAACATAACCGTCCAAACGGCATTCGTCGTGTTTACTAACGCGTTTTCGTTGACATTTCTCTATTGCTCCAAGTGAAATAAAGCAACCAAAATGCAACTTATTAAACTTATTTTTCTTTTAATAAAACTCCTG